AATTCTTGGCTGATAAGTTATCTCAAACTCACCCAAATCAATGGCTCATTTGGTGAGCCTTCTAGAGATTTCTTTTTGCTGTAAAACTTGCTAGATTGGAGAGTCATTTATGACAATGATTGGGTGAGCTTGGAAGTATAGGTTTAGCTTTCACGCTATAGAGATTAATGTCAAAGCTATTTTCTCTAGCCTTGAATACTTGACTTCTGCTCCTTTCAAGACATGGCTAGTATAGTATACTGACTTTTGAACTCTTTGTTCTTCTCTTATCAAGGCAAAACTAGTGGCTCCATCCGAAATTGCTACATCAAGGTACAAAACCTCTTTTTCAGCTGGTGTTGATAATAATGAGGATGCCCTCAAATACTGTTTTAGCTTTCGAATGCTGCCGCATATTATGGCATCCATTCGAAAGCTTTCTTCAAAGTCTTAAAGAAAGGCAAGAATTTATCACTGGCCTTCGATACAAAAATTTTGAGTGCTATAACACATCTAGTGAGGCACTACATTTCCTTGATATTACGAGATGGGTGCAAATCCATCAGAGCTTGGACGTTTTCTGGGTTTGCCTTAATTCCCCTTTAAGACAACATGAATCCCAAAAATTTTCCAAAGGATACTCTAAAAGCACATTTTGCGGGGTTTAGCTTCATCTTATATTTTCTTAGGACCTAGAAAGCTTCCAGCAACTTGTTCACATGGCCCTCAGCTGCTTGGCTTTTTACCAAAATGTCATCAACATAGACCTCCATGCTCTTCCCAATAAGATTCTTGAAAGTGATTGAACAAACGTTGATAAGTGGCACCATCATTCTTTATGCCAAAAGGAATGACCTAGTAGCAATACATCCCTTGCTCTATGACGAATGAGGTCTTCTCTTGGTCGTCTAGGTGCATGTGAAACTGATTATACCTTAAGAATGCAACCATAAAGCTAAAAACCTGGAAACCTACTGTTGCATCCACCAAGAGGTCAATCCTTGGAAGTGGAAAACAATCCTTTGGGCACACCTTATTCAGGTCTGTGAAATCTATGCAAAGCCTTCATTTTTCATTGTGTTTCTTTACGAGCACAACATTGGCTATTCACTCTGGATAGTGGACTTCTTGAACTGACTTTACCTGTTGGATTTTCAACATTTCCTCAGCAATTGCCTTAGCCCTTTTAGGGGTAAAAACTCTCCTATTCTACTATACTAGCTTGAATGAGGGATTCACATTGAGCTTGTGGACTATCACCTGTGGATCTATGTCTGGTATATTCTCCTAAATCCAGGCAAAGTCATTTGCATTCTCTTGCAAGATTTTCTCCACCTTATTTTTAATATTAGGGGAAAGATTGGAACCCACATACATAATCTGGTTAGTCTTCCTATCCATGGCCACCAGGACAAGTTGTTCATCAAGGCATGCTCTCTTTAGGTCTTTCGAATCTCTATGGTATAAGTTATCCACCTGACAAGTTTTAGAAACCTGAGAGGACCTTGCTGATGCAACGTAGCATTCCTTTGCCATGGCCTAATCTCCTCAGACCATTCCAATACTATTACTAGGACCTTTCCAATACCTTGACTTGTTGGGAATCATCAGAGAATGTGATAAGTTGACGGTACTACTTTGAGGCAATTAAGGGTTGATTGCCCCCAATATCATGTTATAAGCTGAAGGGCATTCCATTACTAAGAAACCCATCATATACGTCTGCTGACAGGGAGATTCCCCTAAAGTAACAGGAATTAAAATTGCCCCCACTGGATATACCCTTTTTCTCCAGAGAAACCTACCAAAGGGGCCTTCACAGGGCGAAACTTTGACTTCCCTATGCCCAAATCGATTAAAGGTAAGAAGAAAGATGATATCTACAGAGCTACCATTGTCTGCCAAAACTCTTCAAACTATATGATTGGAAGCAGCCACAGAGATCACCAGAGGATCATCATTTGAAGTGTAGATCCCTTGAGATCTTCATTTATGAATGTGATGGGAGGATTTCTGCAGGACACCTTTCCAAGTTGAACAAGGTTGATTTCTTCCTCCTTCACCTGGGCTCTCCAGACATAAGTTTTCCTCACCGAGTTACTTTTTTCTTGTGAAAAAATTCCACCAGAGATCGCCTTGATTTCATTCATTGGTTACTAATGCTCTCGAGGCTCTAGGGGGGCTTTTTCTTCTTGGCGGTTCTGTTCTAAAAGTCTTCCAAGATGGCCCTTCTAGATTAGATCCAAAATCTAACCTCATAAGGGTGAAGCACTCTTCAGTATCATATCCATGGTCAAGGTGAGTAGCTATATACTGTTTAAGAGTCTCTTTTTTTGTCTACTTAATATTGAGGAGAGAAGTATTAGGTTTTGTGTGAGTCATTCCTCCAATGAAATGGGAAAGGAAGGATAGTTGAGCTCTAGAAAGGATCTAATAGACTTGGTAGGGAGCCTACTATACTAGAGACGATTTGTTCCCTTCAATATGGTAGGGAAAGCTCTATACATAATGTCATCGGGGACGTTGTGCAATAACATAAGAGATTTGTATGTATTCAAATCATCCAAAGGATCCTTCTTGCCATCGAAAGTTTTGATGGTCGACATCTTTAACTTGGCTAGGAGAGGGTAGTTGGTGACATCTTGAGAGAAAGCTGACTCGAGCCTCTAAACTAAAGTTTCCACTATTTTTGGAGCTTGAGCTTTCACAGTGATCAACACATCTCAAATTCAATCATTCACCTCCTTGAACTTTTGGTTCAAAGAGGTGTCTTCTTCTTGATGTTGCGTAGAATCATTTTGAGTACCCTCATCCACCAAGTTTGGTTCATGGCCAATGTGAACTTCTTCAAAGCAAAGAAGCTGATTTCCTTGGTAATTTTGGGGTCCAATAAGGCCTTGCAAAAGTTGTTGAAATTGCTTGGTTTGTTCATCCATTCTTCCAATGGCTTGGTTTAGCTGATCCACATTCATTTTGAGGTTGAAAATCCATTGGACCTCCTAACTCTTGATGAGGCGAGGAAGGTCTTGGTCTGGGTCTGGGATTTCAACCCCAACATTTCCTTGAGTAGGTTGTTCTATTGAAATTCATGGCTCTAGGTGACACCATTCACCAATGTACATCAAAATTGAGAAATAATTTTGGTTGTCAAGTTGTTTCCCATAGACGATGCCAAACAGTTTGAGTACAAAATGTGTCCAACTATTCTGAAAGATGTTTGCGGTTTATCTGGGCCTAGCTACACCTTTTTTCGAGCTCTGGGTGAGATTTCTAGCAGTTGTGGTACCTGAAAAGAAAGTCAAATACTAGAGGGATGCTCCAAGGGTTGACCCTCTAATGCTCAAGTCAATATTTGGAAAATTAAGGTGCAACAATTGAATTGATCTTAGTGTGCTTACCTGGTACTTACCTATGATGTCCCTTTTTATAGTATTTTGATAGGTGTCCAGGAATAGTGGACTCTATGCTTTCCTAGTTGTTTGAATTTGCCTTATCTCCTTTCAGTTGAGGAGTCTTGGCTTTTGTGGACTTCATCCTTTTTTGGGATAACTATGAGTCCTAACTATGCTAGGAGTTTGTTTGATCACATGGATAAGGCTTTCGAAGGGTAGGATCTTATCCTTATCTTTTGGTTGCCTTATATTCTTCACAGTATTTAAACAAATCCCTCCATTTAAATGAGTCTCTAGCAGATAAGGTTCCTATTTTAAAATTGGGGATAAGCTTTGTCATCCTTCCATTTTCCTTATCCCACCAAGTTGGGGAAAGTTGATTATCTAAGTTCATTATTCCTACAACTTTCCTTTCTCTCTAATAGGTCAGCAACGGTTGCATTTCTAAAGCTAATGCCAACTAGGACCTTTCCTTTAGTTGAGATTAAATTTTCCCCCATCAGGAACAACGTGCTGCAAAGGATCTCTTCTTATCAAAAGAGGACAGCCCAATATTATAATTGAAGAGTCAGAGGAAGAAACTTCAAAGCTAGAGATTTCATCTTGAAGAAGTTGCTACTAGGAAGAAAAGACCCTATTTGGGCCCTAATTTGGAAGGGCCTTTCATAATGAAAAGGGTCATCATATTGGGCAACTACCAACTACAGAATGAAGAAGGGAAAGACCTAGCGCACTCATGGAACGTAGATCACTAAATAAGTTCTAACAATGATAGGTCGGGTGCCCCTAATTGAAAGAAAAAAATGTAAACACCTCTCTTTAGAGGACAGTTATGAAAACTTGAGATTAATGGAATTTTTGAAAAATCTTGATACCAAAATTCATGATTACGTAAAATTTTTCCAGGTGTTGAGATTGAACCGAAAATGAGTTTTTCAGCTCATAGCTCAAATAAGCTCTTCAACTTATAAATCTTTTTAGCTTGTGCTAAAGATGAACTCTTTAGCTCATGCTTCAGATAAGCTCTTTAGCTTATAAGGCTTTTCAACTCGTGCTGAAGATGAGCTCTTTAACTCATGCTTCAGATAAGCACTTCATCTTATAGGGTTTTTTAGTTCATGCTATAGATGAGCTCTTCAGCTCATGCTTCATAAAAGGTCTTTAGCTTATAGAGCTTTTCAGCTCATTCTAAAGATGTGTTGAAGAGCTCATCAATTAGATAAGTTCTTCAGATTATAGGGCTTTTCAACTTGTGCAAGATTAAGTTTTAATTATTAAAGTCCAAGGGGCCACCATGAGAAGGGACTTACTCATTAAAACTATAGACCACAAATCACTACTGTAGGGTTAACTCCTTTCAATAAGTGATTAGGGGCAGGGGAGACATGTAGAATAAGCATCAATATCTAGGACAATAAAAAGAAAGGAGCTACGTATTTCTTTTCTAAAAGAGGTTACAAACAAAAATATGCAATAGACTAGTACAACTTATTGGCTTAAGGCTCAGTTCCTTTCTTATTCAACTCATCCAACTGCAGCTTTAACAAGGCATTCTCCCTAGCTAGTTTGGTCCTTGCAAGCTAAGAAAAAAAATTTCTCCTATATTTAGGACTAGTTCTTGCTTCAAGATTAGTTCAAAATAGAAGAATTCTCATCCTCTAAGTTGGTAGAAGGAGCAGACAAGGAAGATGACCTTCGCAGCCTCATCCCAAAAGAAGGAGCATTCTCCTCTCCAACTCTTTTCTTGTCTCCACAAGCTTCCATCTCAACCTCTGTGACATGCACCATGACCTCTAGGATAGGTGCCGCGACCCGTAGGACTAGGGCAGGCCACAACTTGAACCAAAAAAAGGTTTCGAGCAGTGACCACACATCTAAAGGACCACGCCGCATGTAAAAGAATACCAAATATTTAGATACGCTCAATCAGAAACAACTTGAGGAAATCCCAAACAATGTAATAAGTAGAAAACTTAATGAAAAAGGTGGAAAGATCTATAACCACTTACCCATGTTCGAAGGACTCCTCCAGTAATGGGGAACTTGAAGGGCCTGAATGTCTTCCCCCTCAACTTCCCAAGAGTCCTCGAAGATGAAGAAGAAATTGTAGACCCAACCTTCTGAAGGGACAAAAAGGTCCAAAACTAGCTCAGACACTGGGTCTCTCTAGGTAAATCAATAAAAGCCAGGAGGATAAGCAAGAACTAGAAAAAAGAAATAAAGAAATTTAGGAAGGGAAGGAAAATTTTCATTATCATGAAGGCACCAAAAGATGAAAACCCCGACAAAAGTCCTTAGCCCTCTGACGAAAGTTTAGAGGGTCATTGGTTAAAAAAGTGGAAGACTTGTCTGGTGGAAGGAGACATAAAAAACCTAAGTTTAGCCTCAAAATCCATACTTAAAGAAGCAGACCATCATTCCTAAATAGAGATTACAAGGTTGATGTTTAGTGGGGGTGTGGATAGCAACACCGACAGGGAACCCATAGCGTTCCTTAAGGGTCTTCGTCTTGACCTTAGAAATGCTACTGGGAACCACAAAGGCAGCCTAGTTAGAATCCTAGAAGGAAAATAGAGCACGCCTTCTAAAATTTGAAGAAAGTGGGACATTCATGTTTTCAAAAAGAAGAAACAAAATCACTTAGAAGCAATTTGTTCAGACAAATAGATTGTAAGACAAAAATAAGTGTGAAGGGACAGTTACGCTTTTATGGCCAAGAAGAATGATTGTCCACCTTCCCCAAAAACATTTGACATAATGGATGTATAATAAATAGGAAAAAATCATGATGAACCTAGCATTAAGGAGACGAACCGACCCACATCCATAGGTGTCTATTCAACTCCATGACGACTTGATGATGCAAATAGGTACCAACTATCAAAATCACATCTTTTTAGTAACTGTCACAAAGTAGCTTAGATGAGTGGAAGCTTCATTGAGCTCGTGCGAATGATGAGATCTTTAGATTATACTTTCGATAAAAGCTTCTAAGCTTTTTCAGTTTATGCTAAAGGTGGGCTCTTCAGCTCGTGCCTGAGATAAACTCTTTAGCTTATAGAGCTTTCTAGCTTGTGCTAAGCCTAGTAAAATTCCAAACCACCAAGTTCAGGGGGCCACCCAGAGCTAAAACTTAATGGTTAGAATCAAAAAGGATATTACTGATACAAGGCATTCGCCTTCTAGCAAGCGAAGGGGGGAAGGATGCATAGATACTTCTGGCACAAACACTAGAGAGGAAATGAAAATTCCCATTATAGAAAAAATAAGAGTTATAAGCTTAAAAGACACTATTACTACCAGTCCCACGACAAGGCAAGCATGGAGATTCTCCTAAACTCCTCCAAGTTACTGCTCAAAACCCTCAAGTGTAGCAAGAGCAATTGAAGTATGAAAAAGCAGATCAACAAGTGGCTCAGCATGAAGTATAGGGCTTGACAAAATTTCTTGTTGTTTCATAACCTCTAAACATCACCTTTTAGCATGTATAGTATATGAATGAAGGGGGGTGTCACTCTCCTAGGGATGATGTCAAAAGAAAGGGCAACAGAATGGTAGATGAATGAAATGTCAAATGTGAGTATGTGTGAACAAAAGTGCTCCAAAGCGCAAGGAGATTTTCGCGGATCGTGTTTTACTTGGTGGTATTTCAAGGTAGTTTCCACGGGGAAGGAAGTAAACCGAGGGGAAGGTGATTTTGGGAGAAAGAAAGTGTAAAATCTTTGATTATTGGAAGTTGTTTTGATGTTAGTAAAATGAGAAGCAAATGTTGACAAATCCAAGAGGTCACTCCAATAGGAATACTGTCTCAACTCAAAACCCTCCTCCAACAGAGCATGAATGAAAGATTGATTCGTGGGAAGCTAGAATAAGATTGGTGAGTATCTAAGCATAAACCGTGACTAGGCCCACAAAATATCAAAGACTCACCAAGTTATCCACCCTCAACCCAGTCAAATCGAACCATTGAACTCTGAAAGAAGGGAGAAAAATGAGTTGAAAATGGTATACCCAAGTGGAGGTTCCCCTTGATTTTGCCAACTAAGAAATTTAGCTATTCATGCTTAAAATAAAGACAACAATATGATGAGAAGACATTATGAAGAAATAAAGACTAGAGCTAAGCATAAACGAAATGCATAAATATAACTTTCGGATAATCACCTCTTACTAAAGATTGGATGAGAAACTACTCATTCTTCATGGCTTTGTTAAAGCTAGAAAAGTGAGTGATGTTTATCCCTCCAAGTAAAGGAGTTACAAGGTAAAACACTTTACACAATGAGCCGATTTTCGACAAAGAATGAGTGAATCACGTTCCACCCTTCACGGCTTTGGTAAAGCTCTAGAAAAGTGGAAGAGTTTCACTCCTCTAAGGGAAGAAGGAAGCTCAAGCAATGGAAGTAAAATAAAACAATAACACAATAAAAGAAAATAATACTTAAAGTAAAAGAAAGCAATAAATTAAAAGGAACCAATAATACAATAAAAGAAAGCAATAATACTTTTAGAGGGTTTTTCACTACCAAAAGATGAATGTTTTACAAGTCCTAAAGGTGGTATTTATAGGCAACAAGGGAGGGTGAAAGTCTTGTTAGGTGGCTTTGAATCTTGTTTGGTGGCTTTAAAAAGTCTTGTTAGGTGACCTTGAATTCTTTGATCCCCCTTTATTTTGAACTTTGATAATTGACACCCCAGTGGTTTGTAGCTCTAATGCAATTGGCTCCTCAGTAGTTTGTAGCTTTGATATACAAAATCCTGAAAAGAACAATAATTAATGCATTATTCTTTATTCACACACTAACTCTAATTTGATTTATTTTGACTAGTTTAACTTTATTCAACTAACACAATTTACCTATTAAATTATACCTTAATTAGGGTTAATCATAAAGCTCCAAAGGTCTGCCTCTCTAGATCATCTTTAGCTCATTCCTTTCTAGCCTTATCGATCGGCCTTGAGGGCAGATATGGAACAAAGGATTCAAAATCTCGATTAGGATACTTCTCAATGGCCTATTCTCTGAGGCCTGTATAGCTGCTCGCATAATTGTTAGCATTTTTTATCTTGAGGTCTTTGATGTTCTGTGTCTTGGCCTTCAAAGTAGACTTCAATACCCCAAGCTCCTGTTTAAGTTTGGCTACCTCTTACTCAACCCTCTCATTTTCAACTTTAGTAGAATCCAAGCACCAACAATCTTGAGTGATTTGGTCTAGGAACCATATTCCCCCAACTTCTTGGCTTACTCCTCTAGCATCTTCTTTGCACTGGCCAGCCCAGCCATGCGCTCATCAGCCACTTTCTTAAACCTTTGAACTCGCCCAAGGAGTAAATTGACATGTACAACAACCTATAAGGGAGGAAACACCAAGTAAAAAGGCAAAAAATGAAGGGAGGATAGGAAAGAACTCAAAGGAAAAGGAAAATTGAACTCATACTGCTACAAGTCCATGAAGAGCATTTACAGCCTTGTTAGTGGCACCAAGACTAGCTGACTTTTAGATGTCAACCTGTGGCAAGATACTATACATCTTTGTAGCAGCCAAACAAATGTTACTAGTGAGAAAGCCCTCCTCTGTAACAAGAGGGGTTGAGGTCAACTTCGGGGGAAGGATCAGGGTTTCTTTAGAGGTCGGTGGAGGAAGGGAAGTAGCAATAAGCTCCTTAGAAGCTGCTAAGGAGGGATCAGTAGCTTGGAGGTCTCCTTCAAGGGTTGGAGTAACCTCTAGGTCCTGAGCTCCTTCAGGTAGAAATCCCTTTCCTCATAGTGTCTTTCCCTTTTGGCCTAGGGACCTTTTCAAACCTATAATTGAGGGGAGACTTGGGATCGAGGGGCTTGGTTAAATGCCTCTTTTTCTACTACCTCCTCTTTTTGGCCTCTAGAACCTCATTTAGGTTAGGTGCCATAAGCTTGGGATCTACATAAAATAAGGAAAGTTAGGAAAGTACGAGGAGAAATAGAAATTAAATGACAAACAAGCCAAGTGTTGAGCTCATTCCAACAGGTTATTGCTAATATTTGGGAGTTAAGTCTTCGTTTTAAGATGGGAACTAGAAGCTTTTTCGTGCTTCACTATCTTCTCAGGAGAAATGAACTCATTGATAGTCCTCACTTCGCGTTTCTCTATCCATGTGACCCTAAGCTATTCGGTGGAAGTTAGCTCAAACCGACGTTCTGCCATGTAACAAAGAAATTTTTTCATTAACATTAGAGAAGGAAAGTCATGCCAAAAAGAAAAACTTGCTGCAAGACAAACACTCACTCAAATTACTGGGCTCCCATCACCCAAAACATAGAAGAAGTGTTCTTTCCAATTTTTATGAGATGAAGGAACACCTTTGATTATGGAATGGGCATTAACATGTTTTGAGATGTAGAAGAAGCCATCCATCGGGAAACACTTAACATTAAAGAAGTGGAGGAGTTTGGCTACAGAAAGAGCTCAACCTAGGTTATTCTTTCTCCATAATACAAGAAGGACAACTAATATCCCTCAAAAGTGGGGAGACATCCTTGAGGGATAGATGTTGAAATAGCAAAGAACACTTTTTAGGAAAGTATGTAAGGGAAACCTAACACCTGACTCAAATGCTAAAACAAAAAATTTGGTTTTCCCAATCAGATATATGTTATAACGATCTATGTCTGGGGGGTATAAGATGTAATTCCAATAGGACTAATCAAGGACTGGAGCTTATGCTCAATAACACGGCCCTAGGGAAAAGGCACGAATGACCCCTACAAATACCTAGATCTACTTCAGGTGTTGACCTCGCCTGAGGGGGAAGATCAGGGAGATTTAGAACCTAAGGGATAAGCCCAAGAAGTTTTGGTAGCCCTCTTCTTAGAAGCCCTCTTTCTCTTGCCCTGACCAAAACCCCTCCCCTTAGGTGCATTCATGAGGAAAAGAGGGGAAGCCCTTCATTGAGTTGAGCTCTTTGCCTAAGGAACCATGGTCAAAGGGTTCTCATCTCCTTACAGGTCTACCACTTCTCTTTGGTAAGTAGATTTAAATTCAAGATCCTCGTTTCCATCCCAGAACATATGGGAGATAGAAGACCCAATAGCTCTAGCATAAGTTTTAAACATTGCTAAAGTTGGAGATATGAAATAACTTAGCCTAGAATAAAAGTAACGGAATATTCCCCGAGAACAATCCTTAATAGCGCGAGGGTCTAAACACTAACAACAAGGAGAAAAACCCGAGCTATAGAAAAAAGATCTAAGAAGATGAGGAGAGTTTCTAAGGATCTACTTAGGCACCTAAAGTATCGAAAATGAAGAACTAAGAAGTGGAGTCCTTGAGACCATGATAAAAGCAGTCTAGGTGGAAAGAAGGAAAATGTACCTAGAAGACAAAATTGGCAGGGAAAGGTGAGGAACTTAGACCTAGCCTAGACAAGCACCAGAGAATCTAGGCCTAAAATCCCCTAGACTAATCGAATCCTCAAATTGATTCCTCTCAAACTTCACAAGAATGGTTAGTGAATCACCGACACTCTAAAAATTGTAGAAGATTTGGGAAAGAAAGGGTTTGGGAGTTGAAGAGTTTTGGTAAAGAATGAAATCGAATTGAAAAGGGGTTTAAAAGGAAAAAAATTTGGCAATTTTCTCTCTATATGCATTAAAGGCGTCTGCAAGCCATTCCACGCGGCATGATGTAACTAGCACAAGTCGAACTATGAGGCTTTTCCTATGCTCCATGCTTGCACAATGTCGTGATCTCAACAAAGCCATCCTGTCACATCTTTTCAACTATTCTAAGCATCCTGGGCTGGAAATAAAGAAGAATGATACCTCAGGATGACAAAAAGCTTAGTCCTGAGCTGCAACCAAGTTAGGTAGGTTGAGCTTAGGACTAGAGGTCAACTAATGATACCTAAATAAGTAAATAAAAAGGTCCTGAAAGGAGCTTACAGATAAGTTCTATTCCCTGCCCTTGTGTCCACACATCCCCCCTAAGAAGGAAAACCAAGGTCACCCACATACATCTTCACTTAAAGGAACCCAAATTGGCCAGGAATGACCTTAAGTGCAGTTGTCCAGGTCAACTATGTTGTGTGATAAGGAGACCACAGTAGAAGGTTATTCCAAAATTGTACAACCTCGCAGCAAAAACACGACCAAGCACAAAGACGAATCATGAGGCCACCTCAATATGTTCTATAAGTCCACGTCACCCCTAAGGAATGTAGCCTGTAACAACTCAATATTCCCTCAACAAACTTAGGGACCATGTGATGATGACATGGGGTCCACCCCACCTGTGTATATAAATATAAGGTCCCTCACCATGTGAAGGCAACAAGAAAATCAAATACTCTGTAACCTATTTTGTGAAACCCAAGCATTCATAAAATTTTTTTTTATAAATATTATGGGTTAAAGTGCAATTTATGAATATTTGCATGGAGTTTAAATTGTGATAATTAAACTCAAATAAGTTGAGTATGTGTAAATTGAGGAATGTAATAGTAGAATTAAATTGTAATGGGGAGCAAAGTGATATTTCAAAAGCATCTGGAATTATTGACTGATTAGATAGAGGAATTAGCAAAACAAGAGGGGGACTTTAGTGTAATTTTGATAACTCATGCACATGAGAACACCCAGCATGTGTAGCTTCCGCAGCCAAGTGCTTGGGAAAAATTTAAAAGGGGAGGAAAATTGTCTTAGGTGGTGGAAGAAAGGAAGAGAAAAAGAAAAAAGGCAAAACAAGAAAAAGGAAAAGGAAGAAAATCTAATGGTTCGGGGAGAGGGAGTTCAACAAAGTGCATGTGCTCTTGAGTGAGGAGTTTCTTCTTTTGTATGAGTTTCTTGACCTTTGATTGTGCAAAGGAAAGGACTGAAGTTATGTTGAAATATTAAAGAGAACTTAAAGCTCTTGGGTGAGGATTCAGATGAAATTTGAATGAACCGGGTTGCAACAAAGGTAAGAGATTCTCATCAATTTTCATGTTTTTCTGCTTCAGAATGCATCCCTGAGGCTTGGGTAGAAGTTGTGTGGTGTTAGAATTGAGGTTAGGGTAAAAGAAGATGAAGTTTGAACCAAGTTCTAAAATTCAGAATAGGGTTCAACCGGTTGAACAGAGTTCTAGATGAAGATCAACCGGTTGAAGCATGTGTTGAACCAGTAGATTAGAGTATTGGAAAGGTTCCAACCAGTTAAAGAGACACGACCAACTGGTTCATTAAAGTTAATTTTGGCAAATTTGATGTGATGTTTTAGACTCTTATGTAAATACCCCAAGACCTCGTTTAGCCTTTTAATGGACCTTAAATGGGTTCTTTATCAGTTTTATGGGTTGCATATACGCCATTGGGGAGAATGATGAAATATGTTAACATGTGTGTGGCTAAGCATCTATACATGCATGATGGAGTTAAATGAATGTCCTATACATTTACATGTGAAATATTATAGTAGACAAACTGAGACACCAACCTCTACATCAAAAGCACCAGCTGAGAAATAATTGTTATGTTTCAACACTTGAGGTGAGTGGCCTTTTTCCTTGTGGTTGATAATGTTCAAGGTATACTAATGTGATATTATTAAATGTGTATGAAGATTTAGCCTTAAAGGTAAGTGTAAGTAGCCAATAGTGGCATGGTTATGCATTTATGGCAAATATATGTGGCCTAAGTGGTAGACAGGTAGCCTTAGAGGTGAATATATATAAATGTTTGAAGTGATTTTGTTAATATTATTACAAATGTTTACCTGTTAACATTTTATGATAGTTTCGTGTTAGCAATGCATGTTTTAGATGGTGATGTCTGAAGTATATTTTGTTATTATTATTTTAATGAAATTTTTCATTCACTGTTTGTGTTGTGCTCACATTCCCACAGTTTGTGGTTTCAGGGAAAATGAGGGAGCTTAGAGTCCACTGCTGTGTCTTAGAGGGTTAAGGAGTTTACGTGGAGTCTTGATGTCATATTTTGTAATGTTTAAGACATATAACTGGGTACAGCTATTATGATTTGAGCTTAAGCATTTGGTTAAGGATTGTGTGAAGTTAAATGAAAATGTGTGACTTGAACTCAATGTATATGGATTACATATGTATGGGATTATGTTTGGGCGACTTGTTACGTTATGGAATGTTTGATACCATGCATACGATGACAGGTGGTTGATTGTTAAGTGGGGTTTACCCTCTTGGATTAGCTAATATGTACTATATCCAGGATGAGGTGTTATATTTTGGTATCAAAGCCTATGTTTATAAGGTTCTATAGATACAAGAGTCTAGTTCAATAGTGGACAGTCTAGAGTGTTGGGATGAGTCCTATTTGTTTGTGTTACATTTGTGCATATGAATGTACATGCTTAGATATATACATTGTAGTGTTATAGTTAAGTAATAATGGATCCACCAGTGGGTCAAGATCCAATAGAAGGAGAGGGGTCTCATGCTCCTTCTATGGCTGAGGGAGTTCAGAGGCAACAACAAGAAGGTAGAGAAAGGGAACAAAATCAGCCAAGAAGGTGCAGAGAGTGTTTGAGATGGTGACATAGATGGCAACAACAACAAATCGGCTAGTTGAATTGGAAGCAGAGATACAGGTAGTAGAACGAGCAACGCCACCCATTCCATACGTAGAGCGATGTGGTATTATATTATACATGAGAGGTTGATAAAATTGAATCCTCCAACATTTGTAGGAACAATTAACCCTCCAAAAGTTGAGGATTAGTTGAAACGGATGGAAGTTATCTTAAAG